GGGGGGGGGGGGGGGGGGGGAGGGAAAGCCCCGCCATGAGAGGGATGCAGTGGGCTGGTGGGGGGAGGGCCATGCAAGGTCTACCCTTCCCCCACCACCCAGGCCTGCATGCGGCGGCTGACCCTTACAGCCAGTTGCATTGCAGAAGCGGGAACCCTCTCTTTGGCTGAGGCTGCAAAAGGAGACAAGAGCAACACTTTGTCTGAACTGGAGAGGGAGGGGGATCAGCCTCCACGGCTCCTCTTATCCCCTGGGGGGGGGGGAACAACTGGCAGCCGAGCTTCTGCAAGGGTCACTCTAGGGCACAGGCTGGCAAGACTGGCAGAGCAAGGGAGCTGCTGCCAAGCGGCTCAACAGGCGCCTAAACTCAGAGAGGACTGGAGGACAGACCCAGCTGAGGGCAGGATACCCACACAGGATGCCCGAAGGAGGGAACACTTGAGGATGGCCTTCCCTGCTAAGGGCACTAACTGCCAGGTGTCGCTCCTCTCCCAGCTGCAGAAGAGGCCCCCACAGCTCTTCCCTCTGCAGAGTCCCAGCTGCGAGTCCCTCACTGCAGCTCTCCGGCCCTGCCTGAGAACCCTGGAGGAGCCCTTCTTGCAGCCGTGGGGTCTGTTACAGCAGGAGGTCCCAAAAGGTCGCTCACAACAGAGCAAGTCTGTCACAGCAAAACCGAAACCTGGCTTGAGGCTCTTCAGAGACCAGGAAGTTCTCGAGGTATTCTGGGGATCCCCCATCCATCGGATGCCAAAAAGAACTCTGGTGTTAAAAAAGGCATTTTCTGGCGCTGTCCATTTCAGAAGCACTCTAACCAACTTCAGTTTAGCCAACACCCTCTAGGTGAACTGGACTGCAATTCCCATTACTCCCTGGCCTTAGGATAGGGAGGTTGTGGAGTCCCTTCAGTTTTGCTCCTCAGAATCAAATTCAATAAATGCACGCTAACAATGACAGCATTTGGGGAGACTGAATGGAGGGCTAATCGGCTGGGCGAACGACCTCGAGGGCAGGAGGAAGAGCTGCAGCCAAGGCCATGGCCAGGCCAGAGACATCCAAGTCCAAAGCAGGAATGGAACGTAAGAGAAGGTCTCAGACTTGACAGAGGTGGTGGGGGGAGGCACATTCAGAGTTGCAAGATGCTGTCACTGTAACTCTATAATAAAAGTGGCGTTAGCATTCATTAACTTTGGGGTCCGAGTCTGGCTGACAAGCTCGCAGCCGCTATCAGGGGAGATGCGTGCAAGGGGATGGAAGCTTAATGCTGACACCATGCCCCAAGCCTTATCCTGAACCTTACTGATGAGCCCCACGCCATCATCCCCTTGCATCACCACCCTCCACAGCTTCCGGACTTAGCACAACCAAGTCCCTCCAAAGTCGAGGCTCTACTTCCCTCTGCAGCCTGAAATCCACCGCAGAAAAGACTGGGATGAGTACTCCTCTCAGCCCATAACCCACCCCTCCCCCAAATAAGAAGAGGGCATCCGCACAGCTGCCTCTCTTATACCGATCCCTGGAAGCAGAGCCCCAGGGGAATTCCAGAAAGAGCCAAAAGCACGTACAGTATGTAAGGTTTGCCCCGTTCGACAGAGAAACTCTCGTGACACGTGTGGTTCACAAAGAAGGTTTACTCATGCGTAACGT